ATTAAGTAAGGACTTGTGTCGTTAAAGTTTCGTCGGAACGAATTTACGGGAAATCATTTAACAAACGGAGACGTAACAGTATGTTATGGTACAATTCATTTATAACAGTACTGTAAGGAAAATTTATCTCAATCATTTCAAAAATTATCTTTTCTAAAACAACATAAAAGTCTCATTTCATAAAACTTTGTAAATTTATTAATTTTCTGCTCAATTTCTTTGTCTGTAGAAGTTCTCAGAAAGAGGTCTGAATGTTTTAGAAAAGTCCTACAAGAGAATGCTACAGGATCTACAGGATAAACACAAACAGGAAGTAGAAAGATTGAAAATCGAGAAAGAAGAAGCCTTACGGGAAGAAGCAAGAGCAACGAAGACAGGTAAGGCCGAGATACGCGGATATTCTAGAATCAAAAAGGAGAATTGTTCAAAATAATACTGGTTTATCATCACTTGAACTACATGAGAAAGGATAACTTGTATCTGTTAAAGGTTTTCTAGACAGACCAACGTTCTGTCGAAACATGTAGTACGTTCCACGGACTATAACCACTTCATTATGCTTATAAACTGTTGTTGGAAAAGTTTGAATTCTGTAGTTGAATATTTACTAGATTAGCTTCTCAGTAATTTTTTAGTTACTTTTATTACCTTTCAGCTCTGGATGCCGTAAGAAGAGCCTATCAGGAAGACTTACAAAGAGAAGTCAACAGATGTAAGAATGAATGGATCAAACAAAAGGAACAACCTACAGACTTTGAGTCTCTGTACAAAGAACACAGGTAGATAGTATATGTATTTCATGCCAAAATCTAATAATTTTCTACATTAAACTCTTCTGATAACAACAAAGAATTCGAAAGGACTCTTTTTTCTTTTTTTTAATTTAATACAGAGTAGCTAATTTATCCTCTGTCAGAAGCACAAACATAGATTTCAGGTGTTGCCAGTACATAGTTTTAAGAAAAATTCTCACCTCTCGTAGCTGAAAACCACGTGTACATTTGAGAAATGTTGACATTCAACACACACACACACTAAAATCTGTTTGAAATCGAAAGAGAACTTAATAAAGTTGATTAGTAAAAATAATTTTCACATTTTTAATAATTATAGACTGTTTGTGTAATGTTAAAGTTTTAGTAGGTATACAATAAAAAAAAAACAATAAATCCTGTGAAGGTAGTAGACTCGCAACAGAGGCTCAGTAGCTAGTACTGACTATGTTATAGTGACGGAGAAAAGGACCGTGGACTGAGATACGTGGCTTATCACTCTTCTGCTTATTATCAGACACGAGGTTAACTTGACCTGATTTGTATTGTTCATTGTTCAAAATAAAACAAAGTGTTGGTGTATTTCTGTAGATCTATCATTCAATCAGTTGAAAATTAATTTCCCTGAAGGTGCAAATATTGAAAATGTTTTTTTAGCTTACAAGGAAGTTTTATAGACAACTTTTCCAATATCAGTTCTCAGTTGTAGACCATTGCATGAAATACCACAACTCTGTATATTTTCTTTCATTCTACTAGGGTCTCTGAAGAAGTTGTTTATTTCTGATTAAAAACTAAGCTACACAATGGGCTATCTGTGTTTTGCCCACTGCGGGTATCGAAACCTGGTTTCTAGCATTGTAAGTCTGCAGACATGCTGCCGTGCCACTGGGGGACACTCTAAAGAAAAAGATAACACTTTTTATAAGTTAGAGTTGCTTTGTAATTTTTTTATTCTGCTTTTGTATAACTTTTTTATTTATTGCCATGATGCTTTATAGACTTGTTCTTTTGTTATTATTATTACTGTCTGTAGTTTGTTGTTTTTTTGTATGAAAGAAAGTTCGTCTTTGTTTCCTAATTTTTTTAGACTTTTTTTTTCATAAATATTAAGAAACACAACTGTGACATTCAGATCCAAATTTAACTGAAGTTGCTGATGGATAAATGCTGAAGATATAATCAATCGCTGAACAGTGAATGGTTAGAATAATTTTTACATAATGTTTATTGTATATTTCTGTATGTTAGTATGAATTTTAAGCCTACTTATTTTTAGGGATGCAGTTACTGAAATCAGAAAAGAAATAGTCTCTCTATCCGAGAAGTATTCCTTCAAATGTTTGGAAAATGCCACATTAAAAGAACACTTAGAAACAGTTTGTCGTCAAAATGAAGAAGAAAATTCTAGGGTTAGTGGACTTTTTTATGTTCAGTTTTTAAAGATCGTGATTGATCTAATGATTACACAGGCCCTGCAATGGTTTTACTGTTTAAAATGTTTTACATGTTCTACAGTAATCCCTGTACGCTGAATCCGAAAATGATATCCATTTTTCTCCATCATGTACAGATCTTTCACAAAACATCATAACGCAATAAATAAAAGAAAGATCACAACACATGGTTCTGAGCCTAACAGACGTAGATTTCACAAATAAGTCAGGATGAATGAGGATGCATATTCGTTTGACATCAATGTTCTTCCCTTTTCTTCAGTTTCTTGTATTTTTGTTAGCAATCATAACAATAAAACATGT